TCCGCGGCCGCAGCGCAGGGAGCCGGGCTCCAGGGAGAGCTGGGCACGGAGAGCCCGCGCCTCGGCGGCGTCATGGGTCTCCTCCCCGGGCCTCAGCGGACACCAGCGGCGGGAACCCCCGGGCCTCCTCGTGGCCGAGCCTGAGCTAGCGACCCCCGGGCTCCCCGGAGCTCCCCTCTTTTCCCTTTCCCCCCCTGCTTTCGCAGCCGCCGCCGTCACCGCTTCAGCTCTCCGTTATGGCAACTGAGCCGCCATCCCCGCTCCGGCTCGAGGCTCCCAGTCCCCCCGAAAAGCGGACCACGCAGCCGGCCGAGGCCGCCCCCGAGGGCACCCCGCAGCCGGTGGGCGGCAGGCTCCGCTTCCTCAACGGCTGCGTGCCCCTGTCGCATCAGGTGGCCGGGCACATGTACGGGAAGGACAAAGTGGGTAAGTGGGGGTGGCGCGGGGCTCGCTCCCACCCTCCCGACTCCTCGAGCCCCCTGGCCGACGCAGCCTGGCGCCGGCGGGCAGGGCTGGACGTCCCTCCTGGGCACCTTTTCCGCCCTCTTCCGGAGCCTCGGACTCCTGCTGGAGGGCCTCTTAAAAGTGGGGCGATTTCGGGGGTGTGGGGCGTCAGGGTGCCGTGGGGGTGGTGGGGAGAGAAGTGCCTGCTCACCCCAGGGAGGGTGGGTGTTAATTGGGTACGGCGTTCTTCTTGGGGTGGGGGGAGGAGGGGAAGGAACTTCATTTTCACTGGACAGGGAAGTGAGGTTCTCCCCTGAGTCCATGGTCTGTTTATTATAGGCGAGTAGCTATTGCAAAAGAAAAGCAATGAAATGCAGATGATGCTAATCTAGTGCTTCTCTTCTGGGTGCAGCTGCATAGCTGGAGGGAAAGGAAAAACTGTTTTTCCTAAGCTTGACTTGGCCTATTTCTCCTTGCTTCTAGAGGAGGTTTTCCTAGTGTCTCCTCTACTTTTAGCTTTCTACTGTAGTGTGGTTCAGTGGTACCAAAACTCATTCATGGTAGGAAATCCACCAAACTAAAGTAGAAGGGCTTGCTGTTTTACAGTCAGGGAAACCAAGGGAGCAGTTCCTCTCTGCCCTCAAGGGTCACTGAGAGTTGGAATTGACTCTTTATCAGTGGGTTTTAAAGAAAATTTTTTTAATAGTAGACTAGCATGCCAATTGGACATTCAGTTGATTTTATAGTAAGACTAGATCTTGGCTTATGTGATTTCACAATTTTCGAAGCAGCATACAGGACTCATCTCAATATATTCTGGTGATGTAGAAGTTCACTTTAGAAACTATAATTCACCTAGTTTACCCACATGTTTACAGGTGAAAGTATGATGATAAGTGTTTAAGTATTGTGGACCATAGATTTGACAGGGACGTTAAAGACAATTTGGTTTATGTTGATGAAATGATTTGCATTTAGTTGGTATGAAAATACTGAGTTTTCAAAGAGGTGACTGAAGCCAAACCTGGTTAAGTAACAAGACTGGTTACTCACAGCTGCTCTTTGGTAGAATCTTGAAACCAAGGGTTGTAGGGTCTTATCTGAGCATTTAGTCACATAAACCAACAAATAGCTGAGGGTAACAGTGACTTAAATAGTAGAAAATACATAATAAACTAGTTGATTGACATATGACATACTATTTTCTTCAGTTGTTTCACCTAGGCTAAATCCAACTACCATCAAGTCAGTTCTCACTTAAAGCAACTCTATAGAACAGAATAGAAGGGTTTCTGAAATTGTCAATCTTTACCAGAGTGGAAAGTCTCATCTCTCCACTGCAGAACCTTGCTGATGGGTTCAAACTACTAACAAACTACTAACAAGTCAATACGTAACCCCTAGTCTAAGGTTTGTTTTCTTTCCTTAGTCTCTGAATCAGAAATAGTGATTGATTTTTAAGGATATTAGAAATGTGTTGCATGGCGAGGGGGGAAACTAGTCTTTCTGAAAATGAAAATTCAGTGGCGAGAGATAAAAACACATGTCACAGGAGACTAAGAGTTAATGGTGCCGTAGTTGGTGACATGTTGGGCTCCTAACCACAAGGAAGATCAGCAGTTTGAAACCACCAGCCGCTCTGCAGGACAAAAGATGAGACTTTATACTCCCAAAAAAAGTGGCAGTCTCGGAAATTCTCCCTTGTCTTGTAGGGTTGCCTGCCCTATAGTTTTACCCTGTCCTTTAGGGATGAGTAGAACCGACTCCACCATAGTGAGTTTGGCTTGGTTTGGAAACCCATACCAAACCCACTGCTGTTGGCTCTGACTCATATCAACCCTATACAGTCTCTAAGGCTATAGATCTTTATAGGGGCAGCGAGCCTTGTCTTTCTTCTGGGGATTGCTGACCTTTTGTTTAACAGTTCAAACTTGTTACTGACGCCACCAGGACTCCCATACAAGGTTTTAAATGGAAACTTCTCTATAACATTAACTGTCTCTTCCAACGAGGAGTCATTTATATATGGTGTCTGTTTTTATAGTTAGAAAACTTTACCATAAAAACCAGTACTGTGACATTGATTCTTTTTTCTGGTGATCCCAGGTGTGTCAGAGTAAAACTGCTCTATAGGGTTTTCAATAACTGATTTTATGGAAATAGATTTCCAGGCCTTTTTTCTAAGGCATTGCTGAGTGGGCTTCAATCTTGTAGTTAGCAGTCTGGTGTGCATTGACTGTTTTCACTGCTAGGGATCTTGGTTGTGTTTCGGTATCAAGTTGGTTCCAAGACAACAGTGACCCTGTGTGTCCAACAGAATGAAACGCCATCTGGTCATGTGTCAGCCTCACACTTGTTATTTTGAAACTATTGTTGCAACGAATGTGCCAATTCATCTCAGCAAGGTTCTTCCTCTTTGTCACTGACTTTCTACTTTTCCATGATGTACCTTTTTCAGGGACTGGCCTCGCCTGACAATACGCCCAGAGGACATGAGAGGAAGTACTTCCTCCAAGACTGATTTGCTTGTTCTATTGGCAGTCCATCATTCTTCGTCATCAATCAGAATTCAAATGCATCCCTTCTTCTGCAGTCTTCTTTATTCAGTGTCCAACTTCCACATGCCTATGAGGTGATTGAAGTGTGGCTTGGGTCAGGCACACCTTCCCCTTCAAAGTAGCATTGTACCTTAGGTTTCATCATTGCTTATTTTGTGTGTGTGTTCTACAAAGTGATAAATGGAGGTAAATTATACTGTCAGAGTGGGAAATTGGGTACGTATGTTTGGGAAATTATCTACGGGGAAATGAGAGAAGTCTTCCTTAAAGAAGAAATAGTTACACTGAGATCTGAAGTAATTCTAGGATTTGGCTGGACTATAGGAGGTTGGGAGGACACTAAAGGCAAGTTGTTAGGGACCTTCAAGTCAGCCCTGACTCAGTGGTCTTATGTTTAACGTCGCCTGGACTTTTGCCATCCTCATGGTTGTTGATTTGGTTTAAATTCATTGTTTTGACGATGGTGTCAGGCAGTGTCCTTGAGAGTTTCTCTATGTATTTAGTCGGGGGAAGACGTAAAAGGGACCTTGGAATTGAGATGAAGCTGGAGAGGTAGATGGGGCCAGGAAGTATAGCGTTTTTAGATTTTTGGTCTTCATCATAAGAACAGTGGACTGTATAGACCCTGTATGTTTCCCTTAAGAACACTCTCTCTGGAAATGTGGATAACAAGTTAACACTGGAGAGGCACAATCCACAAGGGGTGCCATGAATGCCATGGAAAACAGCTGGCTTTATCTGACCTCCTCTGGCTTCCCTGTCTCCTGTAGCCGGGAGACAGGGCTCAGACAAGCCTTCACCTTCCATCTTTACCCTCTTCTGCCACCAACCATTGCGCTCTGCTTCTCTGCTGAGTTTGATAATTTGTTGCAATGGCCACCTAGAATGCTTTAGATACGATTAAGGGGGTTTACTATGGAATTTAATAGGCTACCACAGTCAGGATCAGCTCAGTAAGGAGCTGATCTGGATGTGACTTAAAACTATTCTGAAAACTGGCTGAAAGAACTTGCCACTTAAGTGGGGCTAATTAGAAGAGTAGATTAAATTCTAGAGGAATTAATTTTATTTTTGCATTAAATTTAAATCCCTACTCTCAATTTTATAAGATTCTTTTGAATAGAGAATGCCTTTCTATCAGCAAAGATATAAAGTGAGTATGAATATGTGAGGGGGCTTCAAAAATATAATCTACTGGAAAATTCTATTGCTTTAAATTCCATTTTTTTCATGAACTTTTTGAGACTTCCTTGTATTAGCAACCTATAAATGTTTATTTCTCAGTTATTTACATAATGTGTGTCTGTGTGTGTGCACTAGCAAAAGGATACCTGATGATAATCGCCCCTATTCAAGAAATTAATAAGTCGTAATTCAAATTTCAACAATTTATAGTTTTCTTCATTGCCCTGGTGCCGTAGTGGTTAGTAATTGGCTTGTGATCCACCAGGTCAGCGGTTTGAAACCGTGAACTGCTCTATGGGAGAAAATGGGCTTTCTATTTTCTAAAGGGCTTTCTACTTTCTAAAGAGTTACAGTCTCAGAAACTGAAAGGGGAAGTTTTACCCTTTCCTATAGGGTCGCTTTGAGTTGGCATCGACTCCATGGCAGTGGCTGACTGGTCATTGTCACAAATCTCTTACAGTTTTTAAGTATTGCATTCAGATCCAACCTTTGTTCCTTCACCTGAAATAATTTTACGTGATTTGCTTTATACTCATTATCTTCTGCCCTTGCCCCCCCCCCCCTTTTTTTCCTTTTTGTTGATGTCATTACGTTTTTGGTTTTTGTCTTAAACCATTTTATTGGGGGCTCGTACAGCTCTTATCACAATCCACACATCCATCCATTGTGTCAAGCACATTTGTACATATGTTGCCATCATCATTTTCAAAACATTTTCTTTCTACTTAAGCCCATGGTATCAGCTCATTTTTCCCTTTCCCTCTTCATTAAGTATTTTAAATGCCTTCCAACTTGAGGTGTTCTTCTTTCGGCTCAGCAGTGGGAAGCTCTGCTGAACTCTGTTCACCAGGAAGGAATCTGGTGTATATGAAATACCCGGAGAGCTTCCAGCATTACAGCAACATACCAACAAGCCACCAGAGTGTGACAGACTGGCAGGAGCGCCCAGTCCGTAGAGAAGGACAGCATATTTGATAGAGGGTTAGTGCAAAAGAGGAATGGGTTCCAACAGCACTTGTGAGGCTGACAACATGTTCTGCTGTACTTAGGGTTGCTATGAGTCAGTACTGACTCCATGGCACCTAACAACATCTTTAACCAAGAATTTTCAATTTAGGATTGATATTTTATCAGCTTCTAAAAAGGGATTGTTAGGCCTTGTTAACTTAAGAATTAAAAGCTTGAAACGTATGCTTGAACAGAACAATGAGTCGTGTAGTTAAGTACTAAGAATGTGTT